TATTATTTCTTTTATATTCTGACGTTGTAAAAAACAACCCAAAAAACCGAAAGGGCGCCTCCCTGAAATGAGACGGGAACCTCCCTGAAATAAGGTTTTGCAGGTTGGGATGTCTGGAATGTAGTGTGGACAGTTGCGGAAGAGCTACCAGAGAATGCACGTAGACAGCAGGGGACTGCTTCTACAGAATGTAGTCTGGACAGTGGGGGTAATTGGGTAAAGCATCCTCAGAAATCCATGTCCATATCCAACTGGATGCCTGATTCCTTAGCATCCATCATTCACTGGGCGAGGTTGCAGTGATCATAGAGAAGTAGGTCCTAGGACCCTAGACACTGTACCTGTAGGAATTAAACTAGCAGGACAGATGCAGTATGTATGAATAAAATAATTCAGGGCCAGTTGGTAAGTACGTTATATTCCCTGGATCAGCTAACATGCAGCATTTTCATGCGTGCCTGGAGTATACGTCTCACGCCAAGCTGCAGTTCTGCATATTTTATTATTACATAGTGATAGTACTTCACTACCCATATCTGTGTTACAGTATGAGATGGCTCAAGTGTGAATGTCGAAAGATTCCGTAAAAGTCATAATTCAGAATGTCACGGTTTATATTGCCACGGGAACCTGTGAAACCTGCAATATCGCTTATAATATAACTGGGGACTGCGCATAAGCGAGTTTGAAGAGCAGCATATGAGGAATGGCAAGAGCTTGTAAAACAGCACTGGAATAATAGCGCAGCTTAGGGAACATGGGAATCACTGCCCCAAGTGTCTACCTGTCATCTTTCAGAACCTAGGGGACAGTAACAGCCCTGCTATCATCATCATTCTTTCACAAACACCATTGCCTTGGCAACCATTGTAATCATCCCTCTCGAACAGCAACTGATGTTCCCAGATAGATTTTACTTATGAACTGACCCTGTTACATTAGCCAAAGCATGTTTTTTACTCTGCACGCTATAATTACATTATTGTCTGCTAATGACACAGCTGTCCAAATCTGGGCCGCCAGGCCATCGTGTCTGAATAATGTCAAGTTACGCCTTATGTAGGTATAATATGTGTGGAAGGGAATTTTCATGGCAGACTAAGCTCAGAGATGCATCCAGCCAGCTTAGCTAACCGGGGATCCCATACAGACTGATTTTAAGGTACACGTATACCTGTCCATCTCCCCAATCATCTTTAGATTGTCTTAATGATTAAAAACTAAAATCCTTTTTTGCTCTAACTCTCATCTTCTCAATGTTAATATTTTTCCTGCATGTTGGTGGGCAAACAGCTCAAACAGAGCAGTGTCCTTTTTATGTTGTAAGATCGCAACTTAATGCCAGAAATGACAATCACTATATACATTTAAAAAAACATCTTTACTGCGATTCATTGTTATGATGATCGCTTCATGTTGTTATGATGGATCCATGCTTTCATGTTGTTTACGTCAAATTCTGACCCGACCATCCGAATGTCGCAACAGAAATCGAGACTCATCAGACCAGGCAACGTTTTTCCAATGTTCTATTTTACAAATTTGGTGAGCCCTTGCAAACTGTATCCTCAGTTTCCTGTTCTTAGCTGACCGAAGTGGCACTCGGCGTGGTCTTCTGTGGCTGTAGCCCATCTGCTTCAAGGTTCAATGTGTTGTGTGTTCAGAGATGGTATTCCGCATACCTCGGATGTAACGAGTGGTTATTTGAGTTACTGTTGCCTTTCTATCAGCTTGAACCAGTCTGGCTATTCTCCTCTGACCTCCGGTATCAACAAGGTATTCTTGCTCAGAGAGCTGACGCTTACTGAATATTTTCTCTTTTTCGGACCATTCTCTGTAAACCCGAGAGATAGTAGTGCATGAAAATCCCAGTAGATCAGCAGTTGCTAAAATACTCAGACCAGCCCGCCTGGCACCAACATGTCACGTTCAGTCACTTAAATCCCCTTTCTTCCCCATTCTGATGCTCGGTTTGAACTTCAGCAGACCATCTTGACCATATCTAAATGCCTAAATGTATTGAGTTACTGCCATGTCATTGGCTGAATAGCATAACCATTGCATAAGGAAAGTCGTGCGATGGTTGTAAGTACCATAAGTGGTAACCCCGAGCCACACTCGGGATTACAGTCTCTTACCTTGTCCACGATCCCCGCTGTGTCTGTCCTCCGTCTCCCGTCCCTTGCGAGCGTCCGCGTCGCAGGGGGGCGGAACCGGCGGCAATTTTAAAAGTAAAAAAATAAAAATAGAACAAAAAAATAAAATCATCAGACTGCCAGGGAGGCTAATCTGTATACTGTATGTAGCCAAAGCTACATACAATATACAGTATGCCACATCCATACCCGGCGTATAAGACGACCCCCGATTTTCGGGCGATGTTTTTAGGTCTCAAAACCCGTCTTATACGCCGGA